CCGAATTTATGTAAGAGACCCTTCAGAATAAATTCTCTCTCCCTCAAGTTCTTTTTTGCACTATGTAGAGATGCAAATAATGTTTAATACGGATCCAGCGTCTTGAAACTGATGGTAAAGTTCTACTTTTGACTCTGATCAAAAGCCAGTCAATGTGTTTCCATCATTTACATCAGTGTTCCTCAACCTTGGCAACTTTAAGATATGTGGACCTCAACTCCCCAAATATTCTGGGGGTTTAAGTCCACATATCTTAAAGTTGCCAAGGTTGAGGAACACTGATGTAAATGATGGAAACACATTGACTGGCTTTTGATCAGAGTCAAAAGTAGAACTTTACCATCAGTTTCAAGACGCTGGATCCGTATTAAACATTATTTGCATCTCTACATAGTGCAAAAAAGAACTTGAGGGAGAGAGAATTTATTCTGAAGGGTCTCTTACATAAATTCGGGTAATTTTTCAAATATGCCGTCTTGTTCAACTACTTCCCTCTCTCCCGTGCGCTGACCTTTTCAGTTACTGATAAACAGCTGCTCAGGAGTGATGAATTCCAAGAAAACTAAGCACACCTGTGCTTTGTGTCCTAACTTGGCAAGCCAAATATAGAAGCCCTCATATGTCACCTTGATGTTTTCTAATGGAGCCTCCTTTCTTCTGAAAATAATAGAAATTTCCTTTTTTACTGGCCTTTCATTTTCACACTTTATTTTTTTCCCTTCATTGTAAACTCCTTGGAATAGGCAAATATTTCACAGTAATCTGTGCATAAATTTCTATTACTGCCCTTGAAAATCCATGCTTCAGTGTAAATCACAAGATTACATAAAATGAGTTTCTTAAGGGGCATGGTCTTTTTATAATCCTGGAGAGGATTGTTGGGGTTAAATACTTTTGTTTTTCCAAATCAGATTTTAAAAGTTTTAAATCTGTGCTTTTAATAATTTCATTATATCTTCCTCTAAAGAGCTAACTGTGCCATATGTGATTCTTGTTGGCATTTAATTCTCACAACAGCTTTGTGAAATAGGTTGTAAAGGGAAAAACAGTGACTGTCTCAAGTTTCTCAGTAAGCTTCATGCATAGCTATGATTTCAGTAGAAATCTTTCCAGAAATCTTTCTATGTATTTGAAAATAAACATCAGAGTCTACAGCAGTGTTTCTCAACTTTAGCAACATTAAGATATGTGGACTTCAACTCCCAGAATTCCCCAGCCAGCTTCTGAGCAATGTGTGTAAGTTTTTCATTGTAGCCTGGTTTTCCCATCATTTACTCCTTTGTCTTTATTGTTATATTGTTTCATTGTTATTTTTTCTGTGTTTTTACTTTGTGTACCACCCAGAGTTGCTGGGAGTGAGGTGGTGTACAAATTAAAATCATCATCATCATCAACATCATCATCACCACCACCACCATCACCATCACCATCATCCATATTTTGCTGGACATATGAACTGAGGCAACAGGAATATACTAGGGAGTAAAGTGATTATCAGCTTGTGCTGTTTTCTTTCATGCAATTAACACAAAGTTCACATTTATCAACAATACAACTAAAACTGATAACACTAATCTGTATTTATGAATGTTGGACATAAATAATTCATAGTTTGATTTTAATAATAACAAATAAGTAATTTACTTACATCTTTTAATTCACAACAGCAACAACAAAAATCAGGCTACTAACCCCCCCCCCCCCC